CAAGAGAGTAAAAGTCATCCATGAAGATGACATCAACTCTACCCTATGGTCCACCTTTGAAGCCATCATGGAGCATGGTTTGAAGAGTAGTGTAGGAATATCTTGGCCATGTATTAGGCCATAATATTGTAGGTTTTCTAAGGCTTGCATTAAGTCTTAAGTAGCATAGGATTTTCCTTAAGTTAGACATCCAAACCAAGTGGAAAGCGTATGTCATGTGTCATGCTTCCATTGAAGAGGATTTACTTTTAGTAATGGCCACATGGCACTCTAAGAATAGAGAGGATTGTGTTTTGTGAGTGGCCACATGTCCTTCCATCACTGGAGAGGATTTGTGGACACTTGTCCACTCTTTAGAAGGCATCTTTTTTTGGCCAGTGAGAGCAAAGGTTGGAGATCATGCTTTTAGGGTTAAAAAGAGACACCCTTGACCTATAAATAGAGGTGTATTCACCCTTGTATTTCATCTTTGATGTTGAGTAATGTTATGCTGCTCATTTTTTGTCATACTACTCATCTTAGATCAAGACTAGAGCAACCCATGACGCCCCTTTAGTCACCTTTCTCCTTGAGTAGGCCTAACCTCTCTTGGAGCCACCAAAACACTGTACCACCACCACCATATCTCCTAGAGTCCATGAGCTTCTACCCCATCCACACCTTAGCTCATCATAATCTTTTTACCATTTTTGTTGTTTTTATGGTTCTACTTTGCTCTACTCTTGGAACCATTCATCTTTTCCACTAGGTGTTCTTGTGTTTTTTTATGTTATATGTGCCTTTTCTATTTTTGAATCATTCTTCACTTTTTTGTGGGTTATATATGTTATTTGGTGTCCTTTTAACTTTTTAATCTGTCTATATTGTCTAGAAGTCATGTTTAGTCCTTTACTTGTCTTTATTTCTAAGTTAAACCTTGAAAAAATCACCAAAAATACATGTTTATGTGTTTTTCGAAACTGCACCTTTTGGGAACCTTTGTGTGCTTTTTTTTTTTTGCATATTTGAGTTCATGTTTGTTGTTAGTTCATCAACAAATTCATAGATTTAGGTTTCATCATGTCATTACGAAGCCAATGCGAAGTGTGTTGTCGTATTGTCACTACGAGTATCTTTTTTCTTTCCATTTCTAAAGCGGTTAGAGGTTCATTCTTTTGTCTTGCATTTTCTTTTATGTTTCATAATTTGTTTTTCCTAATACAAATATATTTTTAATCTCTTTTGTTTAGTGTGGAGGTGAGAAAAGTGGTGGTGGCTCTATTTGTTGATGGTGGTTGAGAGATTATATTATGACTATTTAATATGTATATATTTTTCCAATAAAATTGTTCAATGATAAAGAAATTTAATGACCCTTCTTGTTTATTTTTTAATATATCTATTAGATCGAATAAATATTATATAGACTTAAACCAGGAGCTTTAGAAATATTACAACAAAGTTTAATTTTTTTACTTTTAGTCTATTACATCTACGACGCTCTGACTTTAATAATTAACAAATGACAACCGCTTATATACAAAGCTCATGACGCTTCTTACTGGCTTTGAATAAAATGTAAGAATTGTATCAATATATACACTATATAGAAGAGAATAAAATAAGACAAGTTGAGACTTGTGAAATTTTGGTTAAATAAATTTTTAATTCTATACTGGTATCCAAATAAAGTCAGATTTAATTGACATATTTACTAAATTGAGATGGATTAATTTGAAGGCCATAAAAAATTGTTAGTTTAATCATTTTATCTATTCTGGTTTTTGGTTAAAAAGTTGTATATCGAGTCATAAAATTTTTTTTCTTAATTATATCTTTAATTTTAAAAAATTAAAACAATCATATTCTTGCTATTAGTATTGTATTAACATAGTTAAAGATGATGTTGTGTGTCAATTTGTCATATTTTTAAATATTTTTTAATTATTTTTTTTATATTTAAAAAAAATAAAAATATGTCACGTTTAAAATTGATATTGTGTCACGTGACGCAGAGACAATGCTACGTGTTATTATAATGCCACATGCTATTATATTATAGTTTCAATTTGGTGTCTATATTTTTATTCTCAATTTAGTCTTAATTTTTTTAAAATTAAAAAAAATTTCCTCTCTCCAAATTAAAACAATATTTAATTTGTATATAAATATATTTTATTAAAAATGATATTTTTATTAAATATTTTTAAAAAGATTAAGTTTTATATTTAACTAATTATATAAATATTAATTATGTTATTTAAATATATCTATAAGAGTTAAAAAAACAGTAACACGCCATGTTCGTGTGAATTTTTAAAACTTCAAGACTTAGTGAACAAATTAATAATATGAAATTTATTTTTTTTAAATAAAAAGTTAGAGAAAATTCCATGAAATTAAAGGTCATTTCTATTGTTTTTCTTCTTTTTCGTGTTCTTCCACATTTTTTCACATTTTATTTTAATTCTTACTTTCACAAATCACGTCATTTTAACTCTTATAGATATATTTAAAAAACATAATTAATATTTATATAATTAATTAAATATAATTATAAATAAATTTAATTTTGTTTAAAATATTTAATAAAAGTATTAATTTTAACAAAAATATTTATATAATATTTATATACAAATTAAATTTTGTTTGAATTTAAAAAGAAATAAAATTATTTAATATTAAAAAAATAAAACTAAATTGAGACAAAATAAAAATTCAGAGATTAAATCATGACAGTGACACATACCACTATGTTGCATATCAGATTTACACGTGATAATTTTTAAAAAATATATATAACAAAGTAATTAAAAAAATTTAAAAAGATAAAAAAAAGTTGTGAACTAACACGTGACGTGTTAGCACTGTATTAACAATAAAAAAGAATCAATTTTGAAACCTAATTAAAAGAAGAAAAATTGAAAGATCTGATTTGTGAAAAAAAAACGGAGAGAACTTAAATTATTAGTGAAAATTACATTTGTTTTATTTTATTAATGAGAGGCATCAGGTCATAGGTTGATGGATTGAATGCTACAGGAATAGATTTGCAGTCTGAGACTTTTAAGAGAGACAGAACCTTTTCCCACAACCATGAAAATCCTAAATGACCGTTTCACCCCCAATGAAAGATGCTACTTTTCTGACCTTCTCTGTGCCTTCTCTGACCGTTATTCCACACAGTCTCATATAATCCCTCAACCACTTTGTCTTCATCTTCTCAGTAAACTACCAAAATACCCCTCTTCATCATCTAACCATGGTTAATTTTTCTCCCTCCATCATTATGTCTTGCTTTCTATATTAGTCTTGATTATGGTTTCTTAATGCACCTACTTTGGCTGTAGTCATTCATAATATCCTCTCTCAATTTCCATCCATTTCCATCATGCAACCCAACTAAATAAATAATAGTGCCATTTCATATCATTGGGCCACATAAATTATTAATGCACATTATTCTTATTTCCTATTTTATGTGATTCTCAACATACCCCATATCCTATACCATATCTTTAATTATATACCACCTAAAATATACTTTTTCACATGTATTTTACTTTTCAAGTCTTTCACCAAATTATGATTTTGAAAATTATGCAATGTTGATGCATTTTTTTTTAATTTTCATCCAATTAAACTTTAGAGGCAACATATAATTTGAGGTGCTATTAATTATTAATTGTGGATATAAAAAATAAGTATTACTTGTATTATTTTATATTTTTATCAAAGTCATCTTCTTCAATAATATTTTAAAATTGCTATTTTCGACATACATGTTCAATACAAAATTAATTAAAATAAATATAAACCATTGGATTTGTTTTATAAGATGAAAACTAATACTTATTAAATTATCATAATCAATTTTGTTAAAAACATGGAGAAGTTTATCGAAAAAGATATAAATATAATTGGTTATGTAAGAATAGTTTCTATTGTGTAAGATTTTTAATTCTTATTCAAATTTTTATCTAGTTTTCTTTAAATAAGAGTTGTATTTTTGTTTTTGTCTAAACTAATCATTAAAATAAATAATTGATTTTGACCTCACTAAGTTATCTGTAACACAGACATAATCAATATTTATATTTTTTTATATGATTTAATTTTTTTCATTTTCATTCAATTTAAAACTTTTAAACTATTTTTAGATTCATAACATTATTTATATAATATAATAAAAGGTATGAAAAGGTGAGCTGGTGACAATAAATAATATGAATCGATACTCCTTATAATACGGAAAGAAAAATGTATGCATATATAAAAAGGGAGTTGGCTGAAGATGGTGACAATAAATAATATAAATTGATACTCTTTATAGTAAGGAACGAAAAATCAAAAATATTATTCTTGTGTCTCTTTCTTTAGCCTCATGATGTAGATATACCTTTAAGAAAAATAAAATAATAATAATCAGTTTTGTCATTACGTATACCTAATAGCTTGAACATCATCATACATAACAGCCTATGCAACTCCAAACTTGATCTGAGTACAGACCACATGTATTTCTTATAGTTAGACTATGTTTCAGGTTGTTCTAACATAGCGTAATCTTAAAAATCTAATTGAAAATATAATTTTTTAAACATTAGGTATTAATGATAATAAAAATTTAATAAAATACATTTTGAACCTGACATTGTATTAAAAATAAATTGTATAGGACAAATTTAAACAAAATATAATATATTCTATTGGAATTATTATCTAAGAAACATTGAAATTTACCTACAAAACTATAATTTTGGTGAAGGGAGAGCATAGTAGTAAAGATGAAAGTGGTATTTTGCTTTTAGTTTGGGGCAAGGGCAATAATTAAGGTGAAGCAAGGGTGGTAATAATTTGAGCATGTACTAACAATGCTTGGAACTTTCAAGATAAGTAATAACATACATTGAAGAAAAGACCAACAACTACATTTATAAGCATAAAACAAATAACCTCAAGATGTAGATGAGATAGATGGAGTATAGCAACTAGAATCAAACCACAAAAGCCATCAAACACAACACAACCAAGGGTAGCATTGTCATTCCACACCCTCTAACCTTTTCTTAAACAGTCTCTACATTTTCCAGCCTCATCAAAAGAACCACCTTAACTTAAGCCCCCTCATGTTCTTTTCTCTTTTTGGTCTAAGCAAGCAGCACCATGGGAGCACCAATCTTTAACACTCCCTCCTTCACACTCTTTGTTTTTCTCTCTCTCCAACTTTATCTCTCTTTGTCGTCCTCTCCCTCCATCCATGACCTTCTCCGTTCAAAAGGACTACCCCCTGGTCTCTTGCCAGAAGAGGTAAAGTCCTACACTTTCTCCCAAAATGGCCACTTGGAAGTGTTCCTAGACGCACCTTGCTTGACCAAGTACGAGAACAGAGTCCTCTTTGAGCAAGTCGTCACTGCCAACCTCACCTATGGTAGCCTCATAGGCGTTGAGGGTCTCCAACAAGAAGAACTCTTTGTCTGGCTCCCTGTCAAGGACATAATCGTAAACGACCCTTCTTCAGGGTTGATACTCTTTGACATTGGCCTTGCCCACAAACAACTCTCTCTCTCCCTCTTAGAAGATCCACCTCACTGCAAGCCCGAAGGTAAACTCAATTACTCTCAATTCGATCACCTCTTTTTTTCCTAACCGAGATCTGTCACTACCCTTTTCAAACTAAACTCCAAACACAACATATGCACGATCTTGCTTCACCCTACATCAATTGACTTCTTTCATCGTATCAATATACTGTTTATCCCTTCTGATTCTACCTTTTTTTTTCTTTAAACCAATTTTGGGTGTGTGAGTGAGAGACTGAAATTTCCTTTGGATTTTTGTTTTGATTGAGGTTTATGTTATTTTTGTCTGATAAACAGCTGTTCTCACAGCTACATTTTCACAAACCGAATACTTTCCGAGGTACAATTGTATTTAGTTTTTTATAAGAAACAAATTTTGTTTCTCTAATGGTATTCTAATACAGCAGTACTTAGGTAAAATTCAGGAACTAAACTAACTTTTCTTTCGGTATTTAAGAAACTACTTTGCATAAGTTTCAGTAGTTTAAATAGAATTTGTTTTGTTATTCAGGAGAAAGGTGGTTTTTAAAGGATTAATTTGGAAATTTGTTCTTAATTTTTTAGTGGCTTTGGATTTTCATTTGCTTTCTCTGGGTTTGTCTCTCCTCGTGTCTTCACATCCCAATGACCACACTAACATCAAAAAAGAGTCTCAGACAAGAACATCCTACTCAACCTTTTCCATTTCACATGCCACAGACAAAAACAATTAAGAGGAACTTTCCTATGTTCAAAGAGGAAAAAAGTACAATATTCTACACTATATGTCAGTTCCTGAGCCTCCTGCATCATCACAGTAACGTTTTTAGGCCGGATATGCAGTGCAAGGTTCAAGGGGGTGGGGTTAATTACCGATTTCATTATCTTATCTGCTTTGTTGTTTCTAGTTGGGATTTTTTGTCATTATTTTTAACTTTGCATGCATTTCCAAGGCTTAAAAAGATTTTTTTTATATGCAAAATTGGTGGTTGAGGCTGATTGTATGGTTGTGCAGGTGGGTTGAGGAATCATGTGAGGAAGGAAAAAGGTTTGGAGGTCCTGAGGTAGAAAAAGATGCCACCCTGTGTTTCAGGCTTCACTTGTTGTCTTTTTCTATGTCATGTTTATATAATTTTAGCCTTGCAATGCAACTATAGTTAATGAGTAGGTGCTTGAAACGTAGAGGTTGAGCATGTAAAAATGTGAAGAGAGAGAGAGAGAAAAAAAAACTAAGGAATCTGATGTCGTAATCAAATTTACAAGTTGTAATTTTCTTCTAACATTTGTGCATTATATTCACCGGTTATTGCAATGTTGTTCTGTTTTTAGATTAAAAGAAAAGAAGATATGATAAGTTTCAAAGCAAAGGATCTAATCTAGGTTTTTGAATTGGCAAAGCAATGACTAAGAAACTTCAAAAAATGGGAAGAAAAAGTTATTTGGAATATGTTAATTGTCCCCTTCGTTTTTGCCTTTCTGGCACATTCATATCACAACTGGGTTTTCTTGGCCTTACTTTTTGTTTGTTTAGGGAATAACAGATTGGAAGAATTGATTAGGATTCTTTGAAAGAAATATATTCTTCATCTCTCAAAACATTTCGAATTGTTAATTGTAATGCAATCCGTATCAAAAGTTAATATTCTTTATCATTTACATTTTAATATAAAAACATGTGATTTTACTCTTGCAGATTTCGAACACCATCTTTCTAACAATATGGAAACTAAAGTTGTTAAACTTTTTTTAAGGATTGAAGTTAAGTTTCAAAATATTTTGAGGAACTTAAAGACAAAATTGGCTTATGCTATATTTAGATTATAATTATAAAAAAAAAATCAAGTTTTAATATCGATATGAATTTCTTTTCAAGAATGAAAAGATGATTGTTTTTTAAGAGTGAGAATAAAATAAAAATACTTTCTAGTTCTAAAGACTTGAACGAAACTTGCAGTTTATTGTTTAGGCTTTCACTCTTGCATGTTTGTATGCCCAAGAGAATATCTTCAACTTTGAGATACCTAAAAGGAGAAAAGTTTCTTTGAAAAGGGATCGGTGTTCTAGTGTCGATGTTGCATTGAACTCCCCTTAAAATATTTTAACATTTGTTATGCCTAAACTTGTGATAAAAATATATCAAATTGAAAAAATATTATTTTTTTAAAATGTAGAGAACATTTTAAAATACCAACTAAAAAATTGCTAAAAATATATTTAATTTGGGTTTGAAGTCAAAAATCAGCATAAAGCAACTTGATTGCTTTGCTGGATGCAACATGAGTTATTGAATTGTAACGGCACAAACTTACAATTTCTTCCATAATAAGTGCTTTTATTTGGAGTTTAGCTTTTCTTTTCGGTGTAAAGTTAACAACTTTCTTTGATAATTATTATTATTATTGTTATTAATTAGATAGAGTTTGCCAGATTGGAATTTGGAAATTAGGTCCGTGGGGCGAGAGAGTAAAATAGGAGAAGTATGAAACTCTAAAAGTAAGTTAGTATCATTAAGCTTAATTATTACTTTGAGTTAATGTTTATGATACGGTTTTTCTCTTAAAAGATACATTATTGAAGAAGATTACTTGTATAAATTATTATCAATTTCAAATGTAAAACTTTTGGAGATATATATCAAAATAAGTTTTTAATAGAGAACTAAAATATAAGACAATTTTAGAATTATTTTTTATATTTCGCATAAAAACTAAATTTTTATAATAATATAGTTAAAATCAACTATTACATATAAGATATTGTTTATTTTAATGTATTAATGTCTTTTTTTGCTAAAATTTATTTTTAAAAGGAGCTTTAAATAATATTAAACTTTTAGATTATTTTAATAAGTTAATTTAGAAGATTGACATTCTCTATGAGAATAAAAATGGAAGTTACAGAGAAAATCTCATATTTGAACAAAAAAATAGTATAAACAAAGAAAAAAACCACATGTTGGGAAAAAATAACTATAGAAGAACTTGACTTTATTATAGTATGTGGAATCACATCTTATAATGTTACTTTATGATACTACAATATGAAATCTACAAATGAATGGTGGAATTAAATCTTATAATACTTTATGATATTACATTCCTGTATTATTTTGATTCTATTTTTATTTACAATCAAAATCATCATAATATTATTTGTTCTTACCAGTTGAACATTTGTTTTTATGGGTGATAAGATATCGGGAGTTTGAAGATTCTTGATTTTTTTATTTAGTGTTAAAACACAAAGGAAAATTCATCTTTAAAGAGAGTTTTTAATCTACATGAGTGTATGAGTGAGTACGAGAGTGTGTGTTATTTTCTAGTAGAATGACATTTATTTATAAAATTTATGGACCCTTAGAAAATCAGTTATAAAATCCATAATATCAATAATAATAAAAACTTACCAGATATCTTATAGTTAATATGATAATAAAAGATATTATAAACCAATCAAATATAACATATTATGTTGATATACGATATTAAGAGATATATAGAGTATAATCAAACTACCGATATTTAAACATATATTCTATTAATATACTGTAATTGAGCCAATAAATATATCTTTAGATATTATTAACTACTTTAGGCCAATAACGTTAAATGGGCCTTGTTGGGCCATGTTCTTTAGCATATTTGTTGGGTGAACTAGGTACACAAGCCCCCATGCTTAGAAGTTTGATTAGTGTACCTTTTGTGACTTTATCCAACCCTTAGGACATGTTTTGGTTGACTTTATGTATTACAGGTGGATTGCCTACACGACCAAGCATAAGTGATTTGGTCAGTTACCTAAGGTCATGTCTAACCGAGCTGTGAGTAGTCATCTTTTGACCGAGCTGTGCTTATAGTAACTTGTGGTTGTCTAACTTTTAAGATCAACTTGCTGAGTACTTGGTTCAATGTGATTTTTATGCACTTTTCCAATTTTTGTGATGCATTTATGAAGGGTTTCCTTTGGGCGGGGTGTTGAGTCATCGTAATGATTACCTTGGATCGTGAAACATTGTCTCACATTAAATGGTTCTGAGAATGTGGCTGACATGTCCGCATCCTAATGACTAAACTAAGAAAAGATGAAATGTTAAAAAGTTGGGATATTAATGTCTAAGCATCCTAACAATTAAACTCGGAAGAGGAAAGAATGTCAAAGGATGTGTTTATCTTCGGGGTTTCGAATCCTTCGATCATATTCGTTATTTCTTTTGTTTCTCTTTTTCACTTCTGTATTTCTCAATTTTCGAGTTTTTATGCTTCTTCCCACCTTTCCCTATTTCGCTCTCATCATATGAGTTTGTCATGTTCTCTATTCAAGTCTTGTTGTTCATCTTCTCTGATCAAACCTATTCATCTTCCTCCTTTGAGTCTAATCGTCATCTCTTTACTAAAGAGAGATAACCCTTGTGGGTGAGGGTTCTGATGTCGAATCCTCTACTTCTCTTTTTGGAAACGAGAACTATTCATTGGAGCCTCTCGCTGCCATGCCCTCAATAATTGTTTCCTTTAGGGTAGTCATTATTACTTCAAAGAAGTTAAAGAAGAAAAAACTATTTAGGGGGAAAAAGGTTGTGCCATTTGAACTAGTGGTCAAGAAGCATGACTAGTTTCCCCTATAAAGGATTCCAGATATTCAGGAATTTTATACGAGGTCACATCTTATGCATCGAAGTTTGTTATTGTCGAGACAGTTCTTTACCTTCAATTTTTGTCCTATTGAGCTCACCACCTTGTCTTATTCTTTTTTTGGCCCCAAGAGAAATAATATAACTATGTCCTCATCTATGAATGTTTTAGAGAGTTTAACATTTCTTTCTCCTTGAGAGAATTTAAGATCTATCTTCTTTATGTTCTTTTTGTAGCACTAGTTAGCTTCACCCTAACAATTGATCGTTCACGAAGGCCTTTCAAATTTTTTTTTTGTAACTAACTCGATCTTACCCTTACTCTTGATCTCTTCATGTATTTCTACCAATTGAAGCACAATCCCAAGGTTGGTTGGTTATCCTTGAATGATGCCTAAAATGGTTCACCATTTACACCTAATCTTTTAAGAATCATAAAGTCCTTAAAGTTGAACGCCTCCTCTACTAAGGTTGAACATAAATTCTTCTTTTGTCCTTATACTTTGAGGACGAGGTTTCCCTTGTACTAGAGTCATCCAGAAAAGTTTAAGTCGGTGATAAAGCACCTGTTGAGTGTTAAGGAGAAAAAAGGTGTTGAACTGCTTAGTCAACTTCCCTGGGTACTCAACTGTGGGGAATTGCTTTGTGTCGCATTTGTTGAGGACCCCACCTCTCTCTTCGAGGGTAAGGTGCTTGGTGATTTTTTATTATTTTATGTATATGACTTCTAATAGTGTGATTCTTCGTTTTCTAGAGATCATGTCAAAATCTTTTGAATACAGGAAGTGGTGAGCTACCTCTGGCCTTACTAAGAAAAAGAGAGGTGGTTCAAAGAAGACGGTTGATGCGACAACTTCCCCAGCCAAAAAGAAGAACGTTGATTCAACGACCCCGACTTCTACACTTTCTACAACAAATCATATTCTTGAAAAAAAGGGTTTTCTTATAATCTAGGACCTAATTGTTGGTGACTCCTCGAGTGAGCTTGTGGGAGACACTTTAACTAAGAAGGGGGGATCCAAGGGTACTGTGCTGGAAAATGATCCCTAGGTTGAAGAGATCCCCCAAGTGTAGCTTGAAGCGTTTGTGATCGAACCTCTAATCGATGAGACACCTTCTCTTGGGCGTTTTCTAGGGCTTCTTTACTAAGGAATAAGGCTGACTGTAAGACCCATAAAATATATAAATATTTTTTATTTTTTTTTATTTTTATATGTTGTGGTCTTAAATATTTAATTATGGTGTGTATTGGTGTGTAAGAAGTATTGAGAAAGTGAATAAAATTTATTAATATTAGTTTTCATATTTAATTTTTGAAATTTACATGAAATAGGCTTAAGTGGTATTGTTTGCACTATATTATCAACAAAATGGAAATGGTACAGTATGTGCAAGGATGTTAGAGACCATGGATTCAATTCCTACCCAAGGCACTTCTTAGGTTCGTTTCTCCATTTTTATGATTGGTGGACATGTGAGACCTACATAATGTAGAAAAGAGAAATATTGTTTTTAGTGAAGATTTGTTTTGTGCACGTAATTATGCAGAGGAGTTTGATCTCCTTTGGCTTCATTCTTTCTTAATTTTTCCTTGCATAGTTAGGTTAAGGTAAAAGGTGAGGGTAAGTCTAGGTTTTTTTTTGTACCTCTATG